CTGCCTGAGGCTCCTGTAGGGGACAGGTCACTCTTTTTAGAAACACATCCGTAGGGTTTTCTGGGTTTCTCCCTTTGCATCATAGATTTGCTTAGAAGCAGATCACACACTATGAACATTCCCCTCCTTGGTGAAAGCCTTTGGAGTCAGAGTCCACATTTTCACCTAAGGAACTTGAGATCTGCAGTAGCTTCTGCTAAACCTTTTACCATGAGTTTTCTTGGGAGTTCTTCTTTTTCTTCCTCTTCAGTTCTCTTCTTTTTTTTTTTTTTTGTACCGGGGATCGAACTTGGGTCTTTGTGCTTGCGTAGCAGGCGCCAGCGAAACCACTGAGCTAAATCCCCGGCCCTTCAGTTCTCTTCTTCAGCTATGCATTCCTCGTCCAGCCCCACAATTCCTCATTAGGCAGCTCCTCGGGACCTACCTCCAGGGGCTCCTCAGTTGGGTCCTCATCCCCAGACAGGTTAAGGTGTTTCTTTCACAGCCACAGACTTTTTGATCTCTGCAGCCGCCTCCTCCTCGGTGTGGACCTCTGGATGTGTTCTTCCGGGTGCCATTCCTATGCTCTTCAGTGACATCACCTCAAACCCAAGCCAGGTGCTAGATGCGCTCAGACACACTGTGACTCTTCCAGGCTCCATCTGTGTCATCTACATGTCCTCACTGGCTGCTGCACTGGCCTGGGCAGGGGTCCTCAGGTGGCAGACTTCAGAAGCTGCTATAGCACTGTGATCCATCAGCTGGGTCAAAAAGACACCACTTTGATATTGGGATGAAGATCGGCAGTAAAGGAGGAGGCCTCAGATCATTGTCAACCATAAAGAAGATCCGGAAAAGTGTGTTATTCTCCAAAGCGTGCTATTCTGTTTTGCTGGCAAAGCACTTCAGAAAAGCGTCTCGAAAGAGAAGTACGGTGGCCCCTGACTTCTTGCTGATCCTGTAAGACCCTGGCAGTGTGTGCTTATTGACAGATGTGATAGCCCTGGGGTCCTCATGGTGCTGGATTATGAAGGACTTCAATGTGCAGCCTGCAGCACTGCCCCAGCAAGGTCATCACCCTGTCATTCAAAGCCCTGAGACCTGTATCTGACGTGGCCTCCTTGTGGACGAAGTCCTTTCAGGCATCCCTTTGTGGACCGGAGGCTCTCGTCCATATGGAAGCTCAGCTCCGGCAAGTGAGTTTCTTCACAATCAGCTTATCTAGAGCCTCTGAACATTCTTCAGCTGTCTTCACTTCGGCCCTCAGTGAGTCACTACCCACTTTCACATGACCCAATGACAAATGATGCCGGAGGAGGATGCTGGTGAAAGGGCATTGTTCTGCTGCTTTTTTATAAGTCATAGGAGTACATCTAAAATAACAAAAAGCCTAGTATAGTAAATACAAAGTGGTAACAGCCGTTCATCACTGTTATCATGTATCATCTACTATACCTAGCTATATGTGATCTCCTTTTAGATGGTTGGCCCTGTAGATTTGATACGAAAGCATCACTGCAAACTCGTATGCTACAGCATACAACAGCGCCAGTGTCAGCAGGTGGCAGGGAGTTTTCAGCTCCATTAGAGGCTCATAGGGCCACCACAGAGAATACAGTTCAAGGCTGACTGACATGCCACATGCACCTGGCTTGCATGTAAAACTATTGCATATCTTCTTTTTTATTTTTTTACTTTAAAATGATTTCCATACTCTATTTCCCACAGTAAAATTTCAGTGAAAGGTTATAGACAACCTAAAAGCCTTCAGTGCAGTCAGCCTTAAATTGCCCTTCCCGGAAGGACTGAATTCACCACCAAAAGCTAATATGTATGTGTGAGACAGTGCTCATCTCACAGTCTCACTCTCGTGGGCTAGCCTTAGCAGAATATTCTTTGCCAATTTGTGAGGCCCAATGTGATTCTCATTATTACTTTAATTTATACCCAGCCAAAACTCACCATTTTCCTATTCCTTGGAAAGGCAGAGCTTCTTCATCACTTTCCTCACTGCTAGAACAAACTACCCAACACCCACAACGTAAAGGAGAAGTTTATTTCAGCTCACAGTTGAGAAGTTTCTGGCTATGTTTGGCGGCACCAGGAAGTCCTGGGTGGAGGAAAGCTGCTCACATCATGGGGGTCAGGAAGCACAGAAGATGGATCCTTCCAGGTCACACCCCGGTGATGCACCTCTTCCAACCAGACCCCACCTCCCCATAGCAACTCAGCTATGAACTCATCAATGGACAAACCCACTGGTGAGTACAGTGCTCTTGTGATCCAACCACCTTCCAGCACAGGCTTTGGGGAGACACCCAAGATCTAAATCCTAACAGAAGGGGAG